AGATCATTGATTTATATTACAAAATCGGTGATGCCTCACTGCCTCACTACGCGAAAAACACTCTTTTTAAGGTCTTTTTGGGTCTGCCCGTGGTATCCTTTTTCCCCTGGGGGGTACTCCTATATATTTGCTATACGGGGACGTGCCGCTGGCCAGGGTATGGTTTTTGGCCTTGCTGTCTTAAACAGGGTATACATTTCATCCGAAATTGTCTTAAACAGGCTCTACAATTTAGATAAAAGACCGATATAATTTTGTGTGTGTCTTGGACAGGGTAATATTTTCATAAGAAATAGAGGATAAACGTAGAAATAGAGGATATTACATGGGCGCGCGGAGATATGGATTTTATCTTCGAGTGTTGAACTGATATCCCACGAGTGAGCGTAGCGAACGAGTGGGATATCTTTTCAACACGAGAAGATAAAATTCATATATCTCCAAGCGACCATGTAATGTTCTTTTTATTATATGATTAAAAAATATTGACAAGATTGACTAATGAAGAATTTTATTTCAATTTTTTAGCGAAAAACACACACGCACAACTTTCTGCATTCGTACATGATTAGTTAACTTCAATGTTTCATTTCTCAAAGATTCAAGAAATTAAAATGCAGTGAAATTTTATAAAAAATGATCTTAGCAATAAAAATTAAAAGCCAGAATAGTTCAGGCAAAAAATACAAGTTTTAAAATAAACTTATAAAGTTTGTCATTTTTATCCCGTCACTCTTAGCTTTCGTCGCTGCTTTCTACAACGCGTATACGTTTCCACTTTTTACATTCATAGTGCTCTCTCGTTTTACAGGAGATTTCTGCTGCAAGTTTACACTAATATTGAATGTTCCTCCTCTAATCGTCCCAGAAATTAGAGAACCAAAAGCTGAAGAGGCTGCTTGCTGTTCGGCCTTACTGACTGACACGATATTCCTCTGTCGACTCGGCAGCAACTTGTTTTGTTGTTGTTGTTGTGCATGAACTTTGGGCACTATGTAGGACCTCTAAATTCCAAAATGTTTGATATTTTCTCTTGATGATGGTCTTGTTCACCGAGTTGGCATTACGGTGCCCCGTGTGATTTGCATGATCTGAGTAGGCGGTACATTGTTGTCTCGATCCGTTTTGACAATAGGTCATTCAGAACTGTGGTTGAAAGTTCATGAATTGAACTTGAAGTGCGTATCTTGGGGCTCACTGCTTGAATAAACTCCTCGGTAAAAAGTAGGATGTCGTATGCTGTTTTTCGTTGTATTAACATTTTCCTGTTTATCGACGAAATCATGGATGTCTTCGTCAGTTACATTTACTACAAACCTTGGCAAAGGTTCATTCATGGTTTCTTTCTTGTACGAAAAAGAAAAAAAAACACGTCAAACTTTTTAGTGAACGCGCGTTGTGTTCTAATTTGCATATTTCAGATGCCCGCGAAAATACTGAAATCTCATTCGTTAAAACTTGTTATCGCCACAGTGTTGATAACATTGATATCAACACCGGTGGCAGTGGGGATAACAGTTTTATCATTTTGATATTCCCTAGTATCACACTCTATATTTAAGAAATATAAAACGGCGCGCGTGTCTCTGTCCTCTGATATAAACACGGTGGGAGTTCGAAAAACACGAGAGAAGCAAGCTTAGGAACACGAGCGTAGCGAGTGTTTCTCTTGCTTCTCGAGTGTTTTTCAACTCCCACCGTGTTTATATCAGAGGACAGAGACACAAGCGGCCGTTTTATATTTCTTTTATAAAATTTTTCGAGCGAGAAGAAAATTTTGCTGGTAAGCCTTGTCTCTGTCCTCTGATATAAACACGGTTGTCAGCCAATCAGAGCGCGCGTTATATATCAACAATTTTATAATATATAATAAAATACTTTATAAGTCAGGAATACCTAATATTTTAATAGAGGAAAAGTAAATTGCTTTTGCTCAAGTGTCTTCCCAGTCCATACAGGTATGAATGTCAGGAAAACTCCACTCGCCATATATGTGCATATTCCAGTTTCGTTTTCTTTGTTGTTTTTTCTTCTTCTCAATATTCCAAAGCCTGCAGCGATTCCATCTGTCATTATCTACATTTACATGGTCTCATGAGGGTATTTGTAATCTTTCTTGATGTCAGGATGGTTTAACATTTGATTTTACTTTTATTGTCACAGGCTTGAATAGATTCAATTCAAAAGGGTGTATAAGAACCACCTATCCCCTCGGCGTATAATACTAAAAAATCATTCCGCCCTCCATTTCTGTGTTGCAAGAACGGTTGCTTATATACTCCTTTTTCTGTTTAAAGCGAGCAACCGCTGCTTTAGTTGACAGCAGTCTCTAATGCGCAGAGACTTTACCAAAAACAAAAGAAAAGCACAAAAAAATGTTGACATTTTCTTCGATTTTAGGGTAATACTGATTCACAAATGACTCAAACTCTAAATCTTATGGAAATACAGGCCTAGCCTCAATTAGGACAATTTTCAAATTTCTAGAACTTTTTTTTGCCATACTTCGGTTTTTCAGAATTTGAATTGACTTGATAATTCATGATATATTAAATCAATAATCAGGATATCCAAATTTGGTAACTGCATGATCTTTCTACGGGATAAAACACAGATAGTGTTTTTCGTGAGAATCCTTAGATAGAAACATCGAATAACCCACGTATCATTTCTCAGTGATATGCATGCAACGCTGCTGCTCATTTTGATTTAGCACTTGGACAATTTCGAGCCAATTTTTAGAGTTCATCGAGTAATAGACCCCTTACAGCTCATGAAAATGCATCTCCAGCTAAAGGACAACACATTGGTTATGGAATTTTGTTCCCAAGAGAAAAAAACTACTTTGTATTGTCCTCCAGATGAAAGTGTTTTGACGTCACATGCAAGAGATCTATATTATGTACAAAGCGTAGATCAGACAAATGCACGACTCAAGAAACTTTAATTTAGTATCAAGCATACCTTACGTTTACAATTGATAGGATTGTGGATTATCCAGTATCAAGTATCAATTGAAGCTACAATTTATCAGATTAATAATGATTAACTCATATAACAATTTTTACTACAATTTAGAGATTAATAAAGATTGTCTTATATCAAGTATTACTTGAAACTACAAATATTAATACTAATCAACTAATAACAAGTGTTACTTGTAGCTACAATTTATCAGATTAATAAAGATTGTCTAATATCAAGTATCTCTCGAAACTACAATTTATCAAGTTAATAATAATCAACTAATAACAAGTATCACTTGAAACTACAATTTATCAGATAATAATGACATTTTAATAGAGTGCATTAAGTAAAGCGTGAAAACTTTGTCGGGACCAATTTGTGCTATTTTGAATATTTTTTTAACAAGGAAATCAGTCTGTGTTCTCGTACGCCCGTGATTACGTACATTTTAGTTTGATTTTAGATCCTAATCATCCGTCAAAAGCGAGTCTCCTGCCCATAACAGTGACATTTAAAAGTAAGCTCACTTAAAATACAACACGTTTTCCGTTTCTCCGTGATGTTAGACAAAAAAGGCTTTTTAAGTTAAAATGATTGCTTCTGTAATATGCTCTTCACGCATCGACTGTTGTTTGACCATTTTTTTATTGGTCTTTCACGCTTTTTGAGTGCAATCTAACAAGTATTACTTATAAGGTACTAATATCAAGTATGAAACTACAATTTACCAGATAATAATAATCAACTAATAACAAGTATTACTTGAAACTACAATTTATGATTAATAAAGATTATAGTAAGATCAAATAAGTTTATGCAGTATTAAATATGACTGCAAATACTATTTATCAAAAAGGTCAACGTGTCATAGCTAGGCTTCACCGTTTTCCTA